GATGGGTTGGCCTTCAAGTGGTATGCTCAGCTCCCTCCAAACACACTACAAACCTGGGAAGAGATGGAGCGCTTGTTTTACAAGTGCTTCTATGAAGTTGACAGAGAAGTACAAGTCATCGAGCTTCTCATTATGACCCAAGGTCCGGAAGAGCCAGTAGACCAATTTATTGCAAGAAGGAGAGATCTGGCTGCATGCCAGACCAACCCCATGCCTGAGATTGATGTTGTTCAGACCTTTGTGCGTAACATGCGATCGAAAATCTCCTGCATGTTGAGGCTTTAAACCCCACCTCTATAACGGATCTGATTTCTAAAGTAGTCTGCATAGAGAGCCTCCTTAAGCACCATGGCAAACTTCAAACACCATCATCAAGAGGGAAAAATAGCCGAAATTTTGATATTCCTGCCTTAATTCTTGGGCAATCAGCAAAGGGGAGCAATCAGGGCCACTGTCACCGTGTCTGATTCCAAGAAAGTCCCTCTTCAAACTCTAGATTTCTCCAAAGGGTGCATCCCACCAATGCTCAAGGAACACCTCTGGCAAGGCAACAGCAGCCCCAGGCCTACAATAAGGTGCCTCCACCTCAAAATCTTTATCAAAAGGACTACTGGGCAAAAAAGAGGAACAAGGTTTACAGCTTCAATAAGGAGTGGGTCCCTGCCCTACTGCAAATGTTGCTAAAAAAAGAGATGATTACTCCGCCTGAGATAAGGAAGCAATAAGAGGCTGATCTCGTCATGCACAAGAATTATTGTGTCTATCATACAATGTTGGGCCACTCCAGTTAGGAGTGCTTCACTCTCAAGGACCATATCGAAGCCTTAATCCAAAGGGGACAGATTCAACTAGACGCCCTCTAGGAAGAATTCGAGGCAATTAAGGCATCCCATATGGTGACAGCTCAAGAAGAGGAGCAAGAGGATTATTCTGATGGACTGCCGCTGGATTTTCTCCCAGCAATGTTCACCATGATGATTCAAGAAGGATTCATTGCACCGCGGCCATCAAGGCAGCCCAGGCACATTGCCCAAGGGACCGAGGATATCTGATGGCCATACCACCAGGTACATGGCCATGATTTAGCTTAGTGCTTTGCTTTCCGAACCATAGTGGTGGAGAAGGTCCAAAGGGGGCACCTCACAGTTGAAATCTCGGTCCCCATCCCTGCAGGTGACACTCAAGCCCTTGGACACAAGAGGTCACTCAGGCACAAACCTCCTGTGACGATGCATCGTCGAAATCTTCCGAGTCAGATGAGCCCTCCACTTCTCAACCATGACAGATCTATCGAGGGTGAAACCGAATGAAGTCCAAGAAAAGGGAGGAGGTTCGCCAAACGAGGCAAGCTCCTAAGCCTCATGAGCCCGATAAGCCTATGCCAGCCAAGAAGAGGGGTAAGAAAAGATGAGTACCGAGGGCTGCACGTCGAAGGAGGACGACCCTTCAATGCCCAGCTGAGGCATAATTCCTTTCACTTGTGCCTCCACTGCCGACATTGTGAGATTTTCTCCCCAAGTCAGTCACTACCACTGACCAGGACCCACAAATTAGTCAAGAAGGGATTCCAAGACCAATTCAGGCCTCCCACACGTCCAACAAGGGTGACGACATTAAAAGCACCCCTCAATGGTCCAAGCAAGGTCCCCTACACATGTCCAATCCAAGTGACGATGTTAAAAGCCACCTGGCTCGGTCCAATCTGAGTGATGACCCCAAAATCTCTCACCCTTCTTCTATCCCCGATTCTTCGAGCCCTTCTTTTCTAACCTGTCTCTTACAGGTATGACTTTTGAATGCCCAGACTTTGAGGCTCTTGATAAAGAGCTTAAAAGTTGTAACATTAGCAAGCAGCATCGTAAATAGCTTACGAAGACGGTGACCCAAGCAGCTGGGTTCCTATCAGTCGCTAATGCCTTGGCTTCTAGAGCCAATAAGAAGCCTCCTCCCACTATTGAGAAGCTTATCGAGTGATACAGAAATCCTAAGCCAAAGAAGTCTCAATGGCCTCCCGAGCCTGACTTGGAGCAACGGATGAAAGAGTCAAGGGGACAAAGCTTCTTTTCTCATGAGGCATGTCACATGGTATAAATTGGCGAGGGGTTGATTAATGTTGATCACACCAGTGCTGCACCTCAAAGTCTCTCCCCCTCATTGTCTGAAGCCCCTTTGTTGGAATCGCCCCCGGGCCAATTGACCCCAGTTTCTCAAAGCCCGTCTTCTCAGTCTCTTGACCTCCCTCTTCTCGAAACTGACCCTTCCCAGTTTGGGCAAGTTTCGAGGCGACCAATATGCTTCATATCATTGAAACCCCAACCAAAGTACAGATGGCAAGGGTACGGGTGTCTGCAAATTCGAAGATGAAAGTATTTGAAATTGAAGAAGATACACTTAGGTCTCCGACTGCCGACAACGCGGAGGTTCAGGAAGCCCCTGAAGTATGGGAAGAAGGTGGACAGGCCACGGCTAACGACCTAAAAGAGAAACTTGCGAGATGAAACTAACCCGAGGCCGACCTTCATTTCAGCCAACATGCCGCCAGATGAGAAAGAACGCTATGCTGCCTTCCTACGAGCAAACCGGGATGTCTTTACTTGGCATTATCATGAGATGCCCGGCTTTGACCCTTAAGTTGCAATCCATCGACTCGGCATTGACTTGTCCTTTAAGCCCATAAAACAAAAGTCAAGAAGGTTTCGGCCTTATCTTGAACTTCAGATTAATGCCGAAGTAAGTAGACTCAAGGAAGCAGGCTTCATCCGGGAGGTCAAATACCCAAAGTGGCTAGCCAATGTCATGTCAATCGAGAAGAAGAATGAGAAAACAAGGGTTTGTATCAATTTTTGTTATCTAAACGCGACATGTTCATTGAAATGCTCATTGACTCCACGGCTCACTGTCAAACCTTGTCCTTCATGGATGGGTACTCAAGGTATAATCAGATAAGGATGGCACCTGAAGATGAAGAAGCCACCGCCTTCTTGACTCCAAAGGGGGTTTTCTAATATACAATGATCTCGTTCGGGTTGAAAAATACATGGGCCACATATCAGTGAACCATGACCACTATCTTTAATGATATGTTGCATAAGGAAGTGGAATGTTACATGGACGATTTAGTGGTGAAATCCAAAGAGAAAGACGCCCATATCCTAGATCTTGAACGGGTATCTGAGTGACTCCGCCCTCATCAAGTCAAAATGATCCCCCTGAAATATGCCTTCGATGAGCAATCTGAGAAATTCTTGGGGTTCATCGTCAGGTATCAAGGATTAGCGATTGAGCCTGTCAAAATCAAGGCCATCCAAGAGATGCCCCCGCCAAGGAAACTTCGTGACCTTCAGTCTCTCCAGGGAAGTTTGCTTACATTCGAAGGTTTATCGCCAATCTCTCAGGACCTTGTAAACCCTTCACGTGCCTGTTGATAAAAGAAATGGGATGTTGAATGCCAGTCAGCTCTAGATGACATCAAGGCATACTTATTGAACCCAATGTTCTCTCCACCCCTGTACCGAGGAAGCCTTTGATCCTATATGTGACCTCTCTTGACGACTCACTAGGCACGCTCCTCACGCAGAATAATGAAGAAGGAAAGGAAACCGCCTTATATTATCTTAGTCGCAAGATGCAATGGGCTGAAAAGAACTACCCACCAATTGAGAAGATGTGCCTAGCCCTAATCTTCGCAGTTCAGAAGCTTTGCCACTACTTGCTCACCCATGAAGTCCAGCTCATCTCACGAGCTGACCCCATCAAATTCCTTATGACACGCCCTTGCTTGTCACGACAGTTCGCAAAATAGTCGTTGTTATTAATGGAATTTAACATCACCTATGTGCCGCAGAAATCTATCAAGGGTCGGGCTCTAGCAGACTTCTTGGTAGCGCATCCATTGTCGACAGATTCCCCCTTGTCAAGCGACCTCCCAGGCGAAGGAATATTCTGCACGGAAGAGCCTTATGATTAGAAGATGCACTTTGATGGGGCCTTCCAATCAGAACAAGGCAAAGCGGGGGTAGTATTCTCAACCCTGCATGATGGCATTATCCCTCTTGTATTTCTCCCTCACAAGGGTTTGGTCGCACAATGCAGCTGAATATCAAGCACTCATAATAGGGCTCGAACTTGCCTTAGACCTAAAATTGTAACGATTGGCCATCTTCGATGATTTTGAGTTAGTAATTTGGCAGCTCAAAAGGGTATATGATGTAAGAAAAGACAACCTCAAGCCCTATCACGACACTGCTAAAACCTTGATGGCACAACTCGATAATTTTTCCCTCAGACATGTCCCCCACAGGTTAAATTCTCAAGCAGATGCCCTCGCCAATCTTAGTGCAACCGCTCAGTTCTTGTCAAAAGATCCAACACCTATATGGGTAGCAGAGGGGAGGCATATCAAGCTAATGGACGAGTTAGATGTGGACGATGAAAGGGCCCTTTTCCCAGAATGTTCGTCTTACTCGTTCGGGGCACTACTCACCGCCAAGGATGCTCTCAAAGTTGAGAGGCAAGACAAGCAAGCCCAAATCATGGCATCCAAACAACACGAGACGGAGTTTTCTGACCCTCTATGTACCGAAATCGAGCAAGTTGAGAATTAGAGAGAACCTATAGTCAACTTCATCAAGCACATCTGGTTACCAGATGACCGCATCGAGAGCAATAACATGTGAAGGATGTCCACCACATATACCCTGCTTGAGGGAAACATCCTCTTTCGACGTTCCTTCGACGGCATCCTTCTTAAGTGTGTTGACACAAGAGAGTCGCATCAGGTGTGCGAAGAGCTGCATACTAGGATTTACGGGTTGCACCAATCAAGCCCTAAGCTTAATGAGCGCATTGGCAGATTGGGGTATTACTGGCTGTCGATGGTCGCTGACTCCTTAGCTAACGCTAAAAGATGCCAAATATGCCAGATGCACGCAAATTTCATTCACCGACCACTGGAGCCTCCACACCCTACAGCAACATAATTGCCCTTCTAGCATTAGGGCATGGACATCATAGGACCCATCAAACCCCCTTCGGCATTGGGTCACACCTACATCTTAGCTGCTACGGACTACTTCTCTAAGTGGGCCGAAGCAATTTGCCTCAAGCATGTTCCTGGAATGTCGGTAGCTATTTTTGTGCAGCATCACATCATCTACCGATCTGGTGTACCTGATCAGATCACATCAGATACTGGCCTGCAATACAGAAGTCAGTACATCGACCGCTTGGCCACCCAGTTTTGCTTTGACTGGAAATACTCTACCATGTACAACCCTCGGGCAAATGGTCTAGCCGAGGCCTTCAACAAGACTCTCTATGCTGTCTTGCAGAAGTCAATGTAAAAAACAAAGAAAACTGGCATGAGAAAAGGTTCAAGGCCCAACAGAACCTCGAAGTCTATCGGGGCAGGAACAAACTAGCTTTTGACAAATTAGTCAAAGCATGTTCCTTCACCTGTGGTGACTTAGTCTTGACAATAAGGAGACCGATTGTCATGCATGGGCGACACAAGGGAAACTTAGAGCCAAAATGGGAAGGCCCTTTTGTGATAAAGAAGGCCTCTCCAAACAGAGCTTATATACTGGCCCGGTCAGATGGAGAAGAAGCAATACCCCCCATCAATGGACATTACCTGAAATGGTACTACCCATGACTTTTATGGTCTCAAGGGCATGACCTTAAAATACGCCCTCAAATCTTGGTGTACAACCTTAAAACACACTACCTCTACGGTCTCGAAGGCGTGGCCTTAAACACAGCCTCAGGTCTTGGTGTACGACCCTAAAACACACGACCTCTATGATCCCAACGGCATGACCTGAAAGGGCGTTGCAGGCAAAAAGATCAGAAAAAGAAGGAGCAAAAGAAAAATGATGGGGCACGGTAACATTGTCAGCTATTGTGAGTAAAAAAAAAAAAACATCAAAAGAAAGACAGCAAACGTGGTGTGAAAACCACGGGTAAACATGCCGCAAGAAAAACAATTCTCTTCCAAGGTCCTGCGAAAACTAGAAATGGCGCATACCCCAAGGACTTGAGTGAAAACCCGAAAGGGCGTTCAAGTCAAAAGGCACATGCAAGGGGAAACATGTTCACTCTCAACAAATTCACCACCCTCAGGAAAAGCAAAGGCTGTGGAAAGGAAATTGCGAATAAAATGCACAAGGCTATGTGGATAAGAAAAAGGGGGAAACAATCAGCATGAGCAAGCAGAGGCTTTCGCTCCATTACGAAATAGAGGTTACAAATAACAAGTTCACGTTTCTAAGGAACTAAATATACCAAAGGCCTCGAAGCAAAGGTAGGACAGAGCAACAATGGCAAAGGCAGAAGCATGCGAGGATCACCGGCCAATCATTCCTTATGAGCCCTACGGATACGCGCTGCCTGATCGCCAACCTGTCCTTCAATACATCGCCAACCTGTCCTTCAATACAGCTACTGTAAGGGAGCCCGTTGCCTTGCTAATGATGGAAAGGTGCCCGATACCAGATCGGCAGAAGGGAAGTCCCTCATCTCCTTGCGAACTCGGGATAGTAAGGCCTCTGCCTCGTCAATATGACATCGAAGAACGAGCATGCTAGCTGCGTTGTCCGGGAAAGAAATTCCCCCTAGGGCAGTGTACTCCCCCTCCTTCAGTGAATGGACCTCAAGGGTTGAATGAAAACCCTCCCTATATGCTAAATCATTTTTGAACTCTTCCAGGTGACCCTCGACATAACCAAAAATAGAGGGTGTCCGAGAAAAAATCAAACAGGGGACTGATGGACGGGCTCAGCGTTGCTGAGATCAGTCTTTCCTGCTTCAGGATCTCTTTTGCCATTAGAGCTAACTCCCCCATAATCGCTTTTAAGCTGGTAAGCCTTGGGAGCTCCAAAGGCTGTCAAGTTCGTTGTGGTCTTTCCCAAAAGCTCAGGAAGTTGTATCAAGTCCTCAAGAGAAGACCTGCTTATGAGGCGACGGACGACCTTCTAGAGCTCTACCCCATACTCACACTGATCTCGGTGTTTAGGAAATCCAGCCCCTCTATCTGCACAGAAAAGGGGATCCTTAGCTGTTCTGGAACAACACCCTCGGGAGTGAACCAAGCAGGGGTGAAGATGACCCGACCAGAGTGAGGCAGCGGCACGATCCCTCCCCTGGATTGAGGTGGACAAGACGAGGAGGATGGTTCATGGGGGTCAATGTTCATCATATCCACCGGTTCTTCCTTAACCTCCATCAGAGGCTCGTCAACCTCAATAATTATAGCGTCCTCTACTGTATTATTCCCTACAGGAGCCTTCATCTTGGGAATTCCTGAAGCCCTGGTCATTCGACGAATAGGCACGCACCAAGGCGCGTCATCGGTGTCTACAGATACATAGCAGAAATGGGGTCAAACGTGCTAAATTTCAAGCTAAAAAATCAAAAGAACGAAAGGCGCTAGGGCTTACCTGACCCTTGGTCACCCGAAATCCTGGCCATCGCGCAAGACTCTCTAAAGCCGCCGCGTCTCACTCTCGCGCAAGGACCTTAAACCACTGTGCGCTTACTCTATCCCAAACCGCTGCATGCTCCCTCTTAGCGCTTTTCTAATGCTGCTGAGCGCGTCTCTCTTCCATCCCATCATCCATGCATTTTCTAAACCACCAGACGCACCCTTCTCTTGCAGTATGCCCTCTAGCCGTCGTGCGCCCCCCTATCTGACTTAGACTGTTGTGCGCTAATTCGTCAGGCCCTCGTGCACGTCTCTCCACTCAAGCCACTGTGCGTAGCTCCCTGGACTTGCCGCCGTGTGCTTTCTCTCTCACACGTGCCCTGCAATCGCACATGTGCTCTTGCATGCGACGTCCTCTCGCACGTGCGGACCTTCATCGTACGGCACGTGTGAGGGAGAAAGCACACGTGTGGATTGTGACCCCTCGGTTGCCCCAACCGCCTGTGATTCTCTGGCTTCCTGCACCAAAAAATCCTTCACCGCCCGTCGGAAAACCTTCACCTCTCGTGAATCTCCCTCAAACTTCACCTCGGAGCCCTCTCTCCCTGCGGTTTCCCTGCTGGAGTTCTCTGTGCACTCATCGCTAGAACTCCTGCGCCCCGGCATACGCTCGCTGGAAAACCTGCTGAAACCCACCAAAATCGCTCGACCTCCCTGCACTCTTCCCTCCTCTCACCGAAAAACTATCCAGCAAGCTCCTTGTCGGAACTCTCGACGGAATACCTATACAAAAACCCTGCAACCCACTAGAGCTCTTCTGCCACAGCCCGAAATTCCTGCTCCTGTCAAAAAACTCCCCGCTAAGCACTTGCCTAAACCACTCACACTCTTTCCCTTACCGGAACACTCTTCGTAGCCGGCTAAAACTCTCTAGTAAAAAGTGAAAAGGTTTTTACCCCGTTCTATACTCAATGCTTACCAATCTTGCCCCACACAAAAGGGCAAATACCGCCCAAGACCACAAGTGATGTTGTGCCATTTTTGAAAGGGGCAAGGGCACCTCGGGAAGCCAAATATAGTAGGAGTTCAAATGGAAATGGGCCGGACCGAGTCGGGCTACCACCCAAGCCCGAGATGCTCCCTTCCAGCCATCGTTTGCCCTCAAGTTGCAATAAACAGGGCAAGCCAGGTCTAGAACCCGAGCTGAGCTGGGGATCTCGCATCCCAGTCGCTGATTGCCATTTACAGTCGTCCCGAGCAGCTCTTCCTCATGTGCACACCCACATGCGTGCCCCCAGCCGCCATATGCGGGCCCCTCCTTCACGCATACATTTCACACATATGACAAAGCCTTCGTACAAGTCTCCTTTCCTCAGACCGCCACCTCCAGACCAAAGCACGCGTCCCTCACCCGTGCGCATCCTAGCCACCATGTGCACTCGATGTGCTCAACTATTGTGCGCACGAGTGCACATCCGCTAATGAATGCTTTTGCCCTTGGCCGTCTTCCTGCTCACGTTGCCGAACGCAACCTTTCAACTCCTCATGGCACATCTTCCCTTCACACGAGCCTTGTGTGTGTGCTTATCCCCCTCCCCAATTGATCGGGTTAAGCCCTCCTTGTCGTATGCCACCACAAAGGCACATGCAATCCCCAACGGTCCGTGCTGCAAGACCCTCAACTGCCTAGCCATGGTCCGAGTTGTATGACCTAAACTATAATGCACGTCTTAGCCGCATGACGTTAAACTGCTTCGCACATTGGTCCAAGCTATATGACCCTAAACTATAGCACATGTCCTGTTCGCATGACGTTAAATTGCTTCACACACGGGTCCAAACTATACGACCTTAAACTATAACACACATCTTGTTCGTATGAGGTTCAACTGCTTTGTACACCAGTCCAAGATATACGACTCTAAACTATAGCACATGTTGATGTTAAACTACTTCGCACTACGGTCCGAGCTATATAACCCTAAACCATAGCCAAGGTCCATGTGGCATTACCCTAAACACGCCTCTACCAAAAAAAATGGGTATGGTGAAACCAGAAAAGGGCACTATGAGTAAAAATGACGGATGGGATGGCCATGAAGTCATGAGTAAGAGCGTTCTCTAAATAAAAAGCCTGGCACGGTGAAAAACCTAAAAGGGCACGGTCAGTAAAAATGGAAAAGGGTGGACATGACCATGAGGTCATGGGTAAAAGAGCCCAATAAAAGAAGGAAGTTGGTGAAAACCGCCCTGCGGTGCCACTTCCCCTGTTCGGGTTAAAACCCAAAAAGGCTCCTAAACAAATAAGCAGGTTGATGCAGCACTCGCCTCCATAGGCAGCTTCAGCCAACACTTCAAGAAAAATCCCTGGCATCAAATACCCTACTATTGGGACCCAAAAAGAGCCTTAAAAAAAATTCCAACGACCTGAGTCCATTCACGAAATGACCCAAGAACCAGAATAAGTGCTTAGACGGCAAATCAGGGTTCCATGCTAAAGCACCTCATCCTCAAGAAGTCAACGAAAAAACAAGAAAGCCATGATGACAAGCCAAAGATGCTCTCAAAGGCAGATAACTGTCAAGTCAGGTCAAAATTGGCCACCGACTTCAGGGTGAAGCCTCCTCCAGGTTCCCAGTTGCTGTTTCAATCTAGACATTTCATACAGGTCACCAGACACCCCTGACTAGGCACAGTTGAGACTAGGATTCACACCCCAAAGAGGCCGCCTCGCAAAAGAGGTACCCTGCTTGTCAAAGCTAACCTAGTGTATCAGCACACACACCCACTAAGGGCTCCTTGGCTGTCTATCTAAAACATAGCCTTAGACGTGGAACTCCATTAGAAAGCACCGTCTCAGACGTGGACCTCCACCAGAAGACCAAACAAAATCTGACTGATTCGGAAGAAAGGCCTTAAGCAAGGCCCCCTACTGTCAGACAAACCCGGATTCTAATCAACTGGGTCTATGAGCCCTGAAGGAAGGCCTCCAGTCATTGGAACCAAAAATGTGAGCTGTTGAAGTGGGTTTGCAAGCACTTAAGCAAGGCCCCTACCATCAGCTCAAAGTCTCTTCCCCCCAAAGCCTCTAGAGATTTGGGTCAACAAGCCCTTAAACATGGCCCCCAGATGTTGACCACCTTGGTCACCCCTCCCAGAAGCAGCTTCACATAATTTCCCCTTTGACGGTCGTGTGATCCTGTGGTTAGGAAGAAAAAGAAAGCCGAAGGGCCAGTTTTGATTTCGAATGTCGTCCTTATCGCTTCCCTCGAAGCACAACATTCGGTAAGGCAAGCAATTGAAGGGTATTTTTTGACACTTGTTATCCTCAGTGCACATAAGGAGAAAGCAGTTTACGACCTAGGTCTGCAGGTATCAAAATGCCTGTGGACTACAAAAGCAGTAGTATAATAAGCCTCGATTCAGAGCTTGATTTGCGACAGTCCCAGAATGGCATAAAAATGATTGAAAATGCCCGAAGGTTCTTCTAATAATACCCGCCAAGCTTCTTCACGATACGACGAAGTTAAGGCGGATTAGACGCCAAAACGGTTTTCAAAAATCTGCCTCTAACATGCTGAACGAAGACCCTGTAAGAACAACCCTATCGTCAGAGCTTCAAATGATCACCAGACTACTTCCATTGGATTCAGAATGTCCGAAAACCCTCGGGTACCAAGTTTCAGCTTATTCGACCAATTTGCAGCCAACTTACCAAAAATGGTAGGCCGCGTGCAAACCTGGTGCACCCTCGATGAACCAATTTCTACTTATGGAAACTGTGTCTTCTAATTTCTAGCTGATCTTTCCATGGTCGTATCTCCTTCATCCTGGGTAGAAAGGACCCAAAATTTTGGGAGGATGTTCATCTCATCGGCCTGATCATTTTTATATATGGCAAGCCTGATGACATGGCCCGAGCCGAGAGAAGTCGAAGAGAGAAGATCGCCATGGAAAAGCAAAAGTTGCAGGAATTTTGAAAAAGAAGATCCTTTTGATTAAATGGTCGTATCACAGTGCCTGAATAGATGATTGGCTTAAAAATTGATGTATCTCGAACCCAACGTTGAGGAATCCATTTGGGCCAAACCTTGTGCGTGATGAGCGGTCGGATTTACTGTATTTCAGGGACAAAGATGAGGAAATTTCTGGCCACCAGATTCCCAATTCCGACAAAAATTCCCCAATTAAGAAAGTGGTCATTCGGGAACCAAATCGAACCATTTTTGTTGCAAAATGATCATGACGACTCGCTCATTAACCAACAGTAACGAAATCGAGGAAAACAATTAAGAAATATGTGAGATCTTGAATCTAAAATCGCAAGCCTCTCACAAATCTTATCGCCTCAAGTTAGCAGCCCAAAGCATCGATTCAAGGATCAAAATCTATACCAAAATGACCACCTCACCGAGCACTACAAGTTTCCGATATTATTTTGGCCGGACGATGGATGGAAGGACCCCATGATAGCCACAAGAAGTTCACGTGAGTTCACGGCCATGATAAGGACTGATCTGGAATTACTCATCTTATTGTGGGCGAGGGAAAAAATTGTCATTTTGCCCTTAATTTTGAGCATTTTTTTAATTCAGAAAATGTATATTTTCTAGCAATTAGGTTAGTTTTTAGGCATCCACCCATGCTTCCCATGATTGCCTATATATACCTAGCATGTAATACCTCATGGGAGGTTGATTGATCGTTGGATCATTTACATAATCTTTTGACTCCCCCTTTAATCTTATGCTCTTTGTTCTTGGTTATTTTGCTTAACCTTCGTTAGAGAGAGAGGATAGAGAGTATTTTACTTACTATAATTGGTCTTAGCCTCCAATTCAAGACCTACTAGGTAACCCTCTCCCTTCCCACGTGCAAAGTGGAGTCGGCGGCCTTTCTCTCTCTCGTCTTTCTCTCTGTTCTTCCTCTTTACCTCTCCTATTTCTCTTTCCTCTCTTCTTTCTCTTTATCTCTCTTCTTTCTTTCACCTCTTCTTCCCTCTGTTCCTCTCTCTCTTCCTCTCTATCTTCTCTCTCCTAACCCAGTAGTGGATTGAGCCTTTTTCCAGAATAGTAGGATTTAGCCACCGCCTCACCCTCTCTCTTTCTCTTAACCTCCCTTCCTCTTTCCCTCTCTTATCTCTCTCTCCTCTTCTTCCCTCTCTTCTTCTCTATGTTCTTCCTTTCTTTCTTCTTCTTTCTCCTTTCTCTCTCCTCATCGAGTGGTGGCTTAAGCCTTTTCTCATAGTGGCAGGCCTCAGCCACCACCTCACCCTCTCTCATCCTTTTAATTCCTTTTCTCTCTCCTCCTCTTTCTCCTCGGAGCGGCGACCTGAGCCTTTTCCCAAGAGTGGTGCCTAACCCT